TCATTCCAAGCACCTACCCAAGCCAAACTTATCACTTCCGGTCTCTTTGAGCGATATTTTATCGCGCCGATCACCCTGATCATCCTACCACTAGTAAAAACTTAAACTTAGTGGTGGGTCAAAAATTCCCTTTTCTTTTCACACACCAATTACTCAAACTTAACTGACCTATACAGTCCTTTTTGAGCTCTTCCTCAAAGGAACACCCCATTGTGGGGATTACCAGACACCTCAATTTTTTAGCCAATCTAAAAGATTAGGGAGGTTGACGCCATCACACAAGCCACAAATGTACCTTATGGGTAGGGCCCCGTTAAGCCCAGTCCCACAAGGCATTACTATCATGCAGAAGTCACTCATCTTAATCATTCATCAAACAGATGGGTAGGGGTATTCTTTAAACCTTCAAAATAAAAGGAAACCACGCCCTTTTGTTCATAGATCCCATTTTTATGAATAGGTTTCTTCGCTTTCATCATACACGTTATCAGCCTTACCATATGCTTTGCTCAGTGAGCAAACTCTCATAATCTTCTTCCAAATAAAACTCACTTATTTCACACTCATTGACAACGCGACTTTCGACAAAACTAAAGCCGATTGGAGGGTCCCCAAAATCAGGTGGGTTTCCCAGTCGCAGATGACGCTCCCACCGGCTATTAGTCAATACTTAATCCTCTTAATCATGGAAATCACTGTCGCGCGCTAGACCGTTTGCAGCACATAACAAGCTAAGTGAAAGGTCCCAGAATCTGGTGGGTTTCCCTGCCGCAGGTGACACCTCCACCGGTTACCATATGACTTAAACAAACGGGGATGCCGATTCTGGCGGTTCTTTCCTCATCCTCTGCCGCGTACAAAAGTCACATGTGACTCACTACCAAAGGTCAAACATGAGGGGTCTCAGAATCAGGCGGGTTTCCCTGCCGCAGAGGACGCCCCCACTGACAGTTGAGAACCAACAGAATGAAGTTGTCGATTCTGGCGGAGGATAAAACTCTTATACCACAAAAATCTTTCAAGCCACCCTGCCACTCAAGGATGGGCCTTCCATAAAGTGTATTAAGACCCCTTCTCACTTGAAGGAGAATCAACCATAAAAACCTCTCAGCCATCCTCTCACTCACGGATGGACCATCCATATATCTTTTTAACATATCTTCCACTTGAAGATGAGTCAAGATGAAACCAATAACCACTTAGGCCGCCTTCAGGCATAACCTCTCTCTTCATATAAATTTCTGGACTCTTCAAGTCTCCCCTAGATCTTTCACTCAAAATCTCACTTTCTTCACTTTATTGAACCCTCCTTGGTTCGCACACTTCTTTATTGTTTTTTTTTTTTTTTTTGTCATTTCTTTATTTTCACTCACAAAACCACAATGGTGAGAATGCCAATGGCAACCAGAACGTGCACGATTCTGCATTTCGGGGAAATTACAACCCATACCAAAATGGTTCTCAGAAGCAAATCAGATTATCTCGAGTTTCAAATCCTCAAACGTCTCAAATCATCACGAATTCCAGGTCCCCAATCATTAATAACTGACCTTGTATAACACACTCTGTAAGTCATAGGAGACTTAATATACACAAAAATGATCCCAAACGTTATCGCAGAAATGAAAGGACGTCATCGTACGGACAATAGAACCTTACGAGACCTCCACTTACACTCAACCAAACCTAAAAATCAGCTTAGAGAGTGGATAGTCAAACTCAGAACGTACGCACAATCCCAAGAAGTAATGCCACTCGAAATCAAAAAGTATATATGAGATAGAACCTAAGTCTCATAAAACTTTGAAAGTTCAGCTTAAAGCAAAAATAGGTAGATAGTCACCTATTAGTCTAGCAATCGAGTCTATTGTATTGTCATAGCCTTCTGCGTGTTTGTTTATAAGTCGTTCAAGACTACTGACACCATTCTATCGATTTCTTACTATGGACGAGACAAGTAAATTAGTGATAGCTATTAGGAAGAACCAAGCCCTTGCCTAAGGCCTAACAGTCTCACCCTTTAACCCCTCTCTTCGTTATCTTACATCTGCAAGGGATATGACCAGTTTTTCCACAACAACACATACTATCTTTGACCACTGCTCTCGCTGTCTGTTATTCTTCCGCCCTCTCCAACTTGCACTTGACGACGCACCCGTGTCGTCGCACCCTTTTTTAGGATCAGATACAGCAAGTGGTAGAGCCATACCAACTTCTCCCTGAACCTTTCGCTCCTCTGTCCCCTTCTTGTTTCGAGCGTCAAACGTCCTCTCACAAGTATGAGTTGCGACATTTCTTACTCTATCCTGCACTTCTTTCCTCTCAACACATGACTCTCTTTTCTTCTCTTTGCTCCATCTATAATTTCGTTTGACAACCTTAGTGTCCTTCTTAAATCCACATATCATACCGCCAGAGGTGCCTGCTGTCAGGTCATTTGGTTTTTTACCAAACCCACTCTTCTCATTATCTAGCACCTCCTTTCTTTTCCTTGCTTCCCACAAAGTATGACAGAGGTGTTGATCGAAATCACCTTCTACAAAATTTTCTCGTATTTTGTTTCATATAAGCTTTTCCTCTGTCCCACGAATCAAGTCTCGTTGCTCTGCATCCGTGAAATTCATAAGGAAAGGAAAACATTTGTCATATTCAGACAATGTCCAGACCTTGCGGGATGAGAGATGGTTAACGGGGTCCCAAATATTCGCCATTTTCGTTGGCAATTGTGGTGCGAATTTCATCAAAAATTTTAAAAACAAACGCTATGAGACCATAATGCGAACATTAAAAAATGAAACAGGCAAAAAAAAAAAAAAAAAAAAA